ATAATTGGGATGGGAGTGTCAGAGACAGTGTGATTGGCACAGGACAGAGCGGAGTTTAGGGCTGTTGTACATAGGGTCGCTATGAGTCGCAGGCGACTTGACGGCACATAACAACAACAACAACTCTAAAATATAGATGAGACATTTAAAACCAAACCTGCTACTGTAGATTCAGTTCTAAGTCACAGGGACCCTCTATCAGATTTCCAAGGCTGTAAATCTTTAGGCAAGGAGACTATTCATCTTTCTTCTTGGAGTGGCTAGTGGATCTGAACCACTGACATTTTGGTTAGCAGTGCAACACATAGCACACTACACCAATAAGACTCCTTAGCAAAGAAATTGAGGAGGTACCAAATCTAACTCAATAGTGAGGACATAATTTGGTTAGAGATGACTAGAATGATGGCACAAAGTGAAGAATGGAACCCAGTAATGTAGAAATTATTGAATGGTCATACTTTTTACTGTGCATATTTCCATCAAAAACAAACAAATATACCAAAGTAAAACAAGAAAAACCCTCAATAAGTCAGGTAAATATGTTTAAATTAAAAAGTGGTCAATGCACTCCCTTAGTTTGGTACCTAATTCCCTGGGTTAAATCAAAGAAACAATTGGCTTCAGTCTCTTGTATGTATATATGTCTATTGTAAACAGTTTTCTCCTCTGTGTCAAAGGGGAAACTCCAAGTTCATTGTGAACGATGAACTGCCAACCTGCATCCTCTGTGGGACAGTCACTATGAAAACCAGTGTGAAAGAGTTTACAGAAACTTCAGTGCTCTTTGAAGATGGGACAAGGGAAGAAAACATAGATGTTGTGATCTTCACTACAGGATATGTATTTTCTTTTCCCTTTCTTGAAGAACCTCTAAAAAGCCTTTGCACAAAGAAGCCATTCCTGTACAAGCTAGTCTTTCCCTCAAGCCTAGAAAAGGCAACATTAGCTATCATTGGTCTCATCAGCCTTAAAGGATCCATCCTATCAGGCACAGAGCTCCAAGCACGGTGGGCCACGAGAGTGTTCAAAGGTACTCTGACGCTATTGCAAACCATATGTGATTAACTGAATCTTAAAAGTAATATGTATTATTTACATCCATTGGTAGTGCAAATAGTTGTTATTTGGATATTAAATGAAAGGTTGGAGGTTCAACTCCATCCAATGGTACTAAGGAAGAGTGGTCTGGCAATCTGATCTCTAAGATTTTGTAGCTGACCCTCCATTGGATTCCTGAGGCTGTAAATTGTACTGGAAGGAACTGTCCATCTTTCTCCTTCAGAGTCAATGGTAAATTCAAACTACCCACCAGGGCTTGGGTTTTGGGGTTAGCAATCCAGTGCAGTTCTACTCTGGCCTACATGAGGTTGCTGTGAATCAAAATAAAAGCACCAGCAATTGGTTTAAAGTAGGGTAGGTCTTAGGTTAGTAAACAAATGGACTGAGAAATTGTGGTACACTCACACAATGGTGTACCTAAACACCTAAGGAACAAAGATTTAGTAAAATACTATATAACATGAGAGAGTTTAGAGAACATTATGCTGAATGAACGAACTCAGTTTCATAAGAACAAATACTGCATAAAACCATTATTGTAAAAATAGAAGGATAACAAGTAAAATGTGTATAAATGTCCAAAAGGGTTAAAGTATAAAAGAAGAGGAGGTGAAAAAAGGGTATGAGAGAGAGAGAGAGAGTTAGTTCCTTCAGCTTAAGAAATGCCAGCAAGTTTAGCCCTTTTGATTTTTGGACTCCACTTCTTTGCACATTTCATTATAATACTTTGCTTTGTCTTCCCAGGCTGCCCTTTGAAATCTTCCATTCAGCTCCTTAACTTCTTGATGTCTTCTTTTTGCCTTGGCTTCTTGGTGCTTTTGTGCAATATTCAGAGTCTCTTCTGACATCTGTTTTGGTTTTTTCTTCTTATTCTCTCATTGTAACCCTATAAACAGCAGCTCTGAATCCTGTCCTCTCCTATGCCTTTCTCACACTTCCTGACACAGCCCAATGCCACAGTCACTACATCAACCCACCTGGTTGAAGGTCTGCCTCTCCTTCACTGACCCTCTGTCTTTCCAAGGAACACGACTCTCTCCAAGGAATATGCCCTCTTAGCAACATGTCCAAAGTATATGAAGTGAGGCTTTATCATCTTTACTTCCAAAGAACACTCTGGCTGTACTTTCTCCAAGACATATTTGTTCTTTTGGCAATCCATGGCATGTTCACTTCTCTTCTCCAAGACCACAGCTCAATGGTATTAATTATTCTATCATCCTTATTCATTGTCCAACTCTCAAATGTATAACAAGTGATCAGAAAGCCAGTAGCCTGTATCAGATGCACCTTAGTCCTCAAACTGACATCATTACTCTTCATTTATTTGGAAAGGATCCTAACTGCAAACATATGACCTCCCCCCACAAAAAAAAACAACACATCATTGTTGTCAAGTTGATTCTGACTCATAGCAATCCTAGAGGATTATAAAGAACTACCTCATTGACATCCCACAGCTATAAATCTTTAAGAAGCAAACTGTCCTCTCTCTCTACTGTGGGACACCAAACCAGTGACAATTCAGTTCGTAGCTGAGCACTTTAACAGCTGTGCCACAAATACTGTTACAATAAGGCTGATTTCTATAACACTGTCCAAATGTAATTTGAAAACTACATTCTTTTAAGTTGGCAAGCATGTTATTTTAGTTGAGGGGAAGTGGGGCTTAGGAAGTCTCTCATTTTACTTACAGAAAACATTCCACAACCTTCATTAAATTATTACCTATTTTTTAACTATTGAGAAACAATTAAAGAGCTTTCATTATTCAATTTTTTTAAACCACAGAGAACTCGTAAGTACTTGACTTTTAAAAATATTTCCTATTGCTTTCCAAAATGCTTATCAGAAGGCCTGACCTGCCAAAATGAGGTTTCATTAGATCATGCCATAGAACTAAATGTGGGCATTGCTGGGGAACTCCCACAAGGTGAACAAGAAACCATCAACTGAAGTCCTACTAGCTTTTTACAAATTAAAGTGACTTGAATGGCGAGTAAGCCAGAGATCTAGGTTGAGCCTATCCTCTGTGGATAGTAGACTCATACGAAGAGTCACACCAAACCAAGACAAGACAGCTGACCAGACCCAAATAAGGTGGTAAACAGGGTGAATTGTATAGGTCATAAATTGGCAACATAGGTTGAAGACAAGAAAGGAGTAGTTCACGTAATAAGAGTTCTAGAAATCTAGAGGACAGAGTAGATTTTTAGACTCTGAGCCAACTAACCAAGAGTGGCTAAGGTCCAAGGAGTTAAAACAAGAATTAGTTTCACACATTTAGAAAAGCACCAAGAATAGAAGTCAAGTGCTGAGACTTGATAGGAGACTGAGAACAAGGTATATGTACAGCCACTCAAGCAGACAGAATATCTCTAAGATCCAGACTGTCAGGCCCCCTTCATGTTGGCCTGATGGAGGCTGCACCATGGAAGAGAAAAGAAGATAGGCCAAAGCAGGGTTATAAAAAGAAACGTCATTGCAACTATTCACATTTAACCAACCAGTAGCTTTTGAGCACACACACAATTTCACTTTAAAGGAACATCACAAAATCTATATTCGAGGCTTGCCCCTGACTTTCTGTAACAGAGACACTGTGACGTCTGTGTCTTAAAACTCAGGGCTATATTCCTCCTGCCATGTCCCTTAGGCATGCTTCCTGGTGTGAGAGTAAATTGAGGAGACAAAGGCAACCTAACTCTGGATGCTGATGAGAAGTGAGTCTGGTGCAGGCCAAAGGCTAGGCCCTGGGAGAGTCTCCCGATTCTGGCTATATGAGTTTGGAAAAGAATTTTACCTCCAGAAAATAACACTTTGATCTCCAATTCCATAATGTTGTAAGACTGGGGCAATAGGAGGTCAAAAATGAGGTGATGGTGGTTGTAGGGAGAAAATTAAATAAAGGGAAAGCCACATATAACTTCACTGTTTCCAATTTTTCTCATAGGACTCTGTAAATTACCATCATACCAAAAATTGATGGCTGACGTGACTAAAAAGGAGCAGCTCATAAAAAGGTATGAAATACCTTCCTCTGCCACTGGGAAAATTTTGAAATATATTTCATTGCACAAAAAAAGTTCTTAATTTCAAAAAGCTATTCCTGTCGAAGTATGGCAAGTTGGAAATAGCTATGAGCAAGGTGTGAGAAGAAATGTTTTCGTCCTAGCTCTGCCTTCAATTGAGTATGCCACATTAGATCCATCATGTGGTGACACCAATTTGTCTAAGCAGAACACAGAACCTGGCCCCCAGCGGATGCCCAGTCCTATCTTCACATGGCCCCCGAACACCATCAGTCCTCATTGCCTTCTACTTCTCTAGCTACTTCTTCTCCACATCATTTACTAGTGGGTCCTGATACTAACATAATAAAAATTGGTGAACCCCAGACTTAGTCCTCAAGTCGCTAAATTCTATTTATGCCTCCTCCAAGGTAGACTCAGCCAGGCCTCTGGTTTTAAAGACTATCATCTACTTTTAGCCCCCAAACTTGCATCCCTAGCCAAAATGTGTCTCTGGTACACCAGACTCTTGTTAAAATTCTCAACTAGATATGTGAGTTTGGAATTTTAATATCACTTTAATAATTTGGAGTATATCAAATTCAACATATTTTTTTAAAAAAATAAAACTTTTGACCATCTTTCCCAATTCCATCACCCTACAAAATGAGCTGCTCTGAGACTTTTTTTTAATATCTCAGTCAATGGCTACTCAATTCAGTTGGCCAGTCAAAGCCTCAGCATAATAATCGTTTCTCTTCTTTTTCTCTCACATCTCACATCAGCAAATCTTGTCAACGTCTATCTTCAGAATTAATAAAGATTTTGTTTTGTTCACTGTTGGGTTTCCAACATCTAGAATGGTGCCTGGTATTGATAGATATTTAATATTTAATGGATGAATGAAATTGAGGAAAGAAATATTTAATAACAACGTAAACAGATATGAATAAAACGTTCAACTATATTGTTGTTTTATACTGTAGCGTCAAAATTGACCCAAAGCTCACCCTCCAATGGGTTTCCAGAGGCAGTAATTGCCCAGAAGGAGATTGTCAATCCTTCTCCCACATATGTGGTATAGTCAGTACTAGAACACCAAATATAGTCATCTCAACTTAAATTTACATCATCAAGAAAAATAATTCAGAGGGAGCTCTGGCAGCCTGGTGCCAAGAAGCTGCACTGAAATACTGAAAGTGAGCACTTCAAATCCACCAGATGCTCCTCTGGAGAAGTAGGGGTAATCTCATCCTGTGCCAGTCTGATCCAACTTGGCGGTACACACACACACACACACACACACACACACACAATAAAAAAATAATAATTCAGGTGTCTAAATGTGATGCCCTGTTATCATGTTCATTCATTCAAAAACTATTACATTTGGACTGTTCAAACTTAACTTTCACATCAAATTCAAGAACTTAAAACATCACCTAAAGCCCTTCTCTTAATTTGTCTTCTTTTACCATTTCCTTTAACCAAGTAAATTGTCCTCATTTCTCTAGCTAAAAACGTCTTCATTTTTTTCCACCATAAAATAAAATCTAAAGCATTTTCCTTTTAAAAAATAATTGAGAAGATAGTTGTAATTTTTAACTTCAAAAATGCAGATCAAAAGATTAATGAAAAATAATCCATCTTTTTCCTCTTAGGGGTATCATTAAAGACACAAGTACAGACAAGCTCGACTACATTCCCTACATGGATGACCTAGCTAAATGCATAGGCACAAAGCCCAATGTCTTACTTCTGTTCCTCAAAGATCCAAGGTTGGCTTGGGAAGTTTTCTTTGGACCATGCACTCCTTACCAATACCGTCTAGTGGGTCCAGGAAAATGGACTGGAGCCAGAAATGCTATCCTGACCCAATGGGACAGAACACTGAAGCCCTTAAAAACTCGAGTTGTTCGTGATTCCTCCAAGCCTGCTACCATGTCATTTCATTTAAAGGTTTGGGGGACACCTGTCCTACTTGTCTCTCTTCTATTTCTCTGTAAATCTTCTCTTTCTTTCAAATTATTGTGGGATAAACTACAGAATAGGATTTCCTCATACCTAATAACTACCTGGTGATGATTAGTCTAGTTGGTTATAAGGATTGCCCAAGTCCTGATAATCCAATCTTAACATCTATTGAGAATCGTCCTCTCTTCCCTGTGATAACTGCAGTAATCCAAGGTCAGGATCAACTATATCTTCTCTGAATGATTATTTTGTCCTCCTCTCTGCCCATTCTGAGCCATAAGAACTCTACTCACTAAATGATTATTCTAAAATAAAAATATGGTCATTGTTTCAAAGAAGGCTCTCGTAGGAATCAGCTATGTGATCAAATTATAAAATTTTCTAGAAATTTATGACAGATTATTTTTAAAAATCTTTACAGGGCTTGGAGAAATCATGGGGGTAATAAAATACCCTCAGACCATTAACAGTGATGTGCCTGGTGAAGCAAGGGGAGAAAGCTCTCTACTATGAAGGAAAGAGAATTGTGTAGAGAGGGCCACATGGCAATCTATGACCTTCCGGTGGTCAATAAAGACAACTCCTGGAGACTCCAAAATTAGAATTAACATCCTACATTTACTTTTCCTTCCTAACAATCTCTTATTACTGCTCCTCCATGCCAAAATTCAAGCAAAAGTCAGACACTAAGATTGGTAACTTGTTCATGGCCTCCCAGCGCATTGGACGGAACAAAGGTGACAGAGGGGCAAAAGAAGGGGTCCAGAGCAATCCTTCCCATTTTAAGATCCTTTAGAGCTCCCCTATTAATTCAAAATAATTAGCTGAATTCCTTAGTACAGCAAAGGAGAATCTTTTCCCAGGTCATAGGTATCCTCCCCTTCAGGAACCCCCTGCAAGCCTGACCATACAACAATATCAAAGTATAATGCGTTTAATACCGCTACATGTTTGCACAAGTTGTTGACTCTGTCAGGGATGTAATTCCACATCTCACCTGATTCGCAAGCTGCTATTTATCTTTCCAGGGGGAGCTGCATCATCTCCCTCTGAGAGCCTGCCCCTGAGTCTCCAAATCAGAGTCAATTCACCATTGTGAAACTATAGGACCTCATGTACTCCTCTGTTGCTGCTTTTTCATTATTAAACTCATTTTTTATCTGTATCCTCATAAATTGTGAGTGTCTGAAAGAAATGATTTCTTATTCATCTAAAACACTATCAAGGTATCATTAAGTAAATATTTTATGAATAAACAGTAGCTTTCTCATTGTATGTTCTCTTTTACCACATTTTTTTCTTCTAGTAACATGGTAAATTACTTCATATTGACTCAGATATTTAAGTTAACAGAAACAATACAATATTAGATAATTTTATGAGTAAAGAGAAGCCATGATGAGATTACAGTATTTGGGAATACTTATTACATCTTTACTATGTGAAGAAGCAGGAAGAATTGGAAGAAGACTAACAATTTATGATATTCAGATGATATAACTTAGTAAAAGCAGGGGATTGAAGCCATAACATTAAAGAAAAAATAAAAAATCTTGCGAGTCAAGCAGCACCATGATAAATGGAACAAGTATTGATGTTGTCAAGGATTTCATTTTACTTGGATCCACAGTCAACACCCGTGGAAGCCGCAGACAAAATTTCAAATGGCTATTGCAGTGGTCAAATCTGCAACATCTCTCTTTCAAGTATGAAAAAGCAAAGAGATTTCTTTGAGAAATAAGGTGCACTTGATCCAAGCCACAATATTTTCAATTACTTCATATGCATGGGAAAGTTGGACAATGAAAAAGCAAAGCAAAGCATTTGCATTTTTGTGTTGACAAAGAACATTGATAATGGACTGCCAGAAGAATGTATAAATCTTTCTTGGAATAAAAGGATTCTTCTCAGAGTACCTAAGACAAAATATCAGGTATTTTGAACATGTAGGAGGGACCAAACCTCAGAAAAGAATGCAATGCTTGGAAAAGAACAGAGCCAATGGAAGGGGGAAAAGGAAAGCCTTCAACGAGATTACCTGACCCAATGTCTGCAACAATAGTGTTGATCAAAGCAACAAATTATCTAAGGGTACAACTATTGGTCTCTCCCCAAATGGAGCAGGGAAGAGTGATGAAAATCAAACACAGTTAAGGAAAGGGATTACTAGATAGACCACAGAAACCTCAGCCTCAAGAACAGAGACTAGAAGAATTAGGTAGCATCATGCTACCACTGATGACAGTCCTGAATGGCATCACAATAGAATGTCCTGGATAGAGTTGGGGGACTGATGGGGGTGGAATGAAATGTAGAGCAAAACTCAAAATACTAAAAAAGACCAAGCTTACCAATAGTCAATGGTGCAATATCTGAGGTGATAGCCTTTAGTCATCTTTTAAGCCTAGAACTAAGTTCACTCCCATAGCTCAACTTTTAGCCAAACGATGGACAGGTATATAAGGTGAATGATAACATCAAGGAATTAAGTATTATTTAGAGCAAACTATTGCAGGAGATGAAAAAGGCAGTATTTGCCCAAGGACAAAGTTCAGAATGCAGGAAGGGGATAGGACCAAAGGAAGATTGGAAATGGGAAAAGAGTTATTTCATTGTGGACACTGTCACATTGCGTGGTTATTATATTTAAGTCATTGTAAAAAAAATATAAGTTGCTGAGTATAAAAATCCATTTTTTCTGCAAACTTTCACTCAAATTACAACAAAAATGTTTTTAAAGAAACCAGCAATTATTCTGAGGATGAATAGTTGAACATTTTCTTGCGTATGGGGTCGCTATGAGTTGGGGAGGACTCCATGGTACCTAACAGCCATGAATTCGGAGTACTGATTAAGAACACTAGAAGCAAAGAGACGTGGATTACACATTCAGCCTTGTGTGATTATGGTCAAATTATATGGCTTCTCTAAGTCCTCATATGAAAAAATAGTGGTAATTTTCTGTATTGAAGTGAACACTGAGGTTATAAAAGGTGTTTAGTACACAGTAAAATAATTCACAATTACTGCAGTGTGTGGGCATTTTATAGACTTTGAATTAAAGGACTTGAAATCTGCTGCCTTGCTCTGCTCTCTGTTGTCTAATCAGACAGTGTCACCTTTGCCTTGCATGGACTCTCTGCGAGCATCTACCAAGTAAAATCATTTTTATCCCTGTGCCTCTATCTTAGTTACCAACTACTGCTGCATCACATGTGACCCTGAATTCTAAGCTGTCTCACTAGTTGTCATGGCTACCAATTCTCTGCTCACTCCTTTCTACCTCACTCTGCTTACTGATGGAGCCTCAACATAAACACCATATCCTTGGTCTTCCAATTTCCAGATTTCACTTCTGTACAGCAAGTTCTGACTATGACCGTCTGAGAACAGTGATTGACACATTTACATGTGCTTCTCAAGCAGTGGAGTCCCATGTAATCTATTCTGACAAAATGTCTAAGCTTACTTTAGCACCCTTTACAGCCCTTAGCCACTGGATTGGTATCACTTGAGCTAGAAGGGAAGTTTAAATGTTTCCATTAATGAGCTCACTGTTTCCTGAAGACACAGATCGTCTTGAACTCTTTTCCTGATGACTCATATGCCTGAATCTGAAATGCCTCTCACGAATTGTCTTTGCTTTTCCCAGCTCATACTTACTGCTATCAAATCAACCCACAGTGACACAAAACGACAGAAGTATAATTGCCCCATTGGGTTTTCAAAACTGTAAATCTTTCCCTATGGAGAATGTCTCATTTCCCCCCAGAAAGTAGACTGGTGGACTTTAAATGTTAATTTTTCAATAAGTAGCCTAATACAAAACCTCTGTACCACCAGAACCCCAACTCAGAGCAATAAAACCCTTGCCCCTTCAGGTCTCACCCTCTTGTTATTGTTGTTGTTGTTGTTTACCACTAAGTTGCAATTGACCCTTAACTGACCCTCCAAAAGGTAGAGGCAGAAATTCCACCCTAGATGATCTAAATTATTCTCACAGAAAGATTTGAAAATGTATATTTTAGCATGCAGGCATACCTCATAGATATTGTGGGTTTGTTTCTAGATCAACAAAATACAGTGAATAGTACACTAGAGTCAAACAAAATTTGGGTTTCCCGTATGCAAATAAAACTTATGCTTGCACTAAAGTTTTGTTATGTTGTTATGTGCCATTGAACCAGAAATGGCTCAAAGCTGATATGGGAGGAGACTGCCCTTTCTTCAGTATATTTGTGCAACAATAGTGAAAAAATTTTAAATAGTGTAAGAGCTTTCAAAATATGATAGAAACATGATGTGAACATATATTATTAGAAAAACGTCACCAAAGGGTTTTTCTTTTCCAAGCAGGGATGCAACACATCTTCAATTTGTATGGAAGAAAAGGGTATTTTTTCAAGTGCAAAAAGAAGCAAAATACAAGATATGCTTATAATTATAATAATTACTAGCATTTGTACAGTTCTTACGTGTCATGCTTTGTTCTAAGTATTTTACATACAATTCACTTAATCTTCACACTCCTATGAGATTGTATTGTTATTACTCTCATGTTATTTCCTCAGAGGAGGAAAGTGAGAGAAGTAATATAATTCGACCTTTACACTGCTCTTAAAAGACTCCCTGAATCCCTCTACTTAACCATATATTACACACTCTTACTATCCTACAATCAGACTCTGGATAAGGAGGTTCAGTAAGTTATCACATAATTCAGCATGTTCTTTAAATGTCACTCTGAAACAATCTTCTGAGGATAATAGTCTTCCCAAGTATTATTTAATTTCCTTTTGAGGCAAAATTAGCATTTTCTGGCTTTTCTATTTAATTTTAATTAAGAACACAGGTCTTGTGAAGTGATGTTAACCTGTAAATTTCTATCCAATTGAGGTGCAAATGATTTTTCTCTAGTTAAAGAGATACTCCCAAAAGTAGGGTTTATCACCCTGTAAGTTATTAATCAATCTTAACAGATAGCCTAGAAAATGTATTCAAATACATTCTAATTATCTATAGCACACCCAAGCATTTAGGACTTTCCTTCATAGGGTCTCTTTAAGTCGCCTGCGACTTGACAGCACTTAACAACAATAACATCAACA